TTCCCTGATTTCCAAAGTATTGAGCCATGGCAGTTAAAGTGGTGTTGAACTGGATTATTTTTGCAGTGTGGATGTGGACTCCTCCTCTTCCTTCTTCTTCTTTATATCTCCCCAAAATTGGGACTCACATCTTAACTATAGGCACAGTAGAATGATAGAATCATAGAGTTGGAAGAGACCCCGGGGCCATCCATTCCAACCCCATTCTGCCATGCAGGAAAACAATCAAAGTACCCCCAACTGATGGCCATCCAGCCTCTGTTTAAAAACCTCCAAAGACTGAAGGACTCTGTCTTCCTATATGAGCCTGCCTGAGCTCTAAGATCTTTAGGAGGAAGCCCTTTTCTCAGTCCCATTGCCAGGGCTCAATGCTATGGGATTCTGGGATCTGTAGTTTTGTAAGATATTTCGCCTTCTCTGCCAGAGAGATCTGGTGCCACCACAAACTACAAATCCCAGGATTGCATAGGATGGAGCCATGACAGTTAAAGGGATGACAAACTGCATTCATTCTGCAGCAACCATGCTCTCCATACCTGTCGCAGCTCCATGAGGTTTTTTATTTCCATCTCGTATGAGGCACCATCTTCACCGTAGTGATCCCAAATCATTTCCTAGGAGCACAGAAGGAAAAATATTACTGTAATTAAAAACTTTAAAACACCAGCTTTTTTGAAATCGACTTTTCTAGGTTTTTAGAAGTCACAATGACTGCATCTGCACTGCAGAAATAATGCAGCTTGACACCGCTTTAACTGCCATGGATCAATGCTACGGATTTCTGGGATTTGTAGCTTGTTGTGGCACCAGAGCTCTCTGACAGAGAAGGCTTTATAGCTCACAAAACTAGAGATCCCAAATTCCATAGCACTGAACCATGGCAGGTAAAGCAGTGTCAGACTGCATTATTATGGCAGTGCAGATGCAGCCCTTCTTGCAAGCAACATTTTAGTCCCAGTTTTAGGAGAAAGGAAAGATATGAATCAAATAGATTAAAATTAATTAATCAATAATAAGAAGAATTATTATGTGATGTCAAAGGCTTTCATGGCTGGCATCCATAGTTCTTCCACAACTAATAATTGTTATTATTATTATCTCTTACTCTCCTCTTCCTATGGATCGAGGCGGGTAACAACAACAAATCTACAATTAACAACATCAGTGAAAACACATAAATTAAAACATGCAACAATTTAAAAGGACAAATAAGGCATACACCTATTAAAACCATCCACATGTAAAAATCATCATTTAAAATTCACATTTTAAACATCATCTGGGTAAGCCTGCCAGAAGAGACTGGTCTTCAATGCTGTTTTAAATTTGGACAGCGTTTTCAGCTGTCGAATCTCTTCCGGCAGGTCATTCCACAATTTAGGGGTGGCTGAAGAAATAAAAGCCATTCGGGTAAAGGTGCTGACATTACACATTCAAAGGAGCAGGGAGAGCCTTTACCTTCAATGGCGCTGCCCAGTCCAGCTCCTTGGTCTCTTTGAGCCCCAGGGGGATCATGGGGACGCTGATAGAGTCACTAAAAGAGAGGGAGAAGTTCATTTTTTCCCTCCATTTGAGATCCCGAACATTTGAGATCCATTTGAGATGGTGATCCTGAGGCCTTCTTGCATGTTCCACCACCCCAAGAGTCTGGGCCATTGATACAAAAGACTGGGAAATTGGGAGTCAAACTTCTGGACTTGGAAGGAGAACCAATTTCGAGTGGAATTGGAATCAGATTTGTAGTTGGTAAGAAGAAATCCAAGCATTGCCTTGTGGACACATGGGTGACCCTGGGTCAGTTACGATGGCTCTGTGTAGCCTTCTTTACAGGGGTGTTGTCAAGAGGAAGAGGTGGATTTTTTTGATTTTCTTTTGGATTTCAGAATACCTGTACTTGCATATACGTACATAATGAAATATCTTGCAGATGGGACCCAAGTCTACACATCAAATTCATTTGTCCTTTGTCTACACCTTATACACTTAGTCTGAAGGTACATTTATAAACAATATTTTTAATAATTTTGTGCACGCAGTAGGAGCCCTGGTGACGCAGTGGTTCAATGGCTGTCCTGCAGCCACTCATTCATAGACCACAAGGTTGCAAGTTCAATACTAGCCAGGGCTCAGGCTAGACTCAGGCCTGCATCCTTCCAAGGTGGCTAAAATGAGTACCCAACTGTTGGGGGGCAATGAGCTTATAGTTATAGACATGCCATAGCGCGATATGAAGCAGTATATAAATGAAGCTGCTCAGCAATGCATGAAAATAATTTTGGTTTTGGGAATAATAATTTGGAATTCCAGATAATGGGGACTCAGTCTGTAACTCTGAAAAGTTCCTTTTTGGACAACTGCTTCCAGACTCCTCCAACTTGCATGGCCCTGCCAGTAAAGTCAATGGGGATGGTTGATGAGAAATTGCTGTGCATGAAACAAAGTTTGGGCACGTAGAACCATCACAAAGCAAGGGTGTTACTATCTCAGCCACCCCATGAACAAAGTTTTGGGTTTTGGAGTATTTTGGAATTCCGGATAAGAGAGACTCAATTTGTATAAATTCAATGAACTGCTTTTCATATTGTTTTTCTTCGCTCTTGTGGCTACGAGGGTGGGACAAAAGTTTAAAATGAATGAAATGATAAGCAAAATACAGTAACTGATGGAAGTGGCTAGCATAAACCATTCTCTCCTCCAGAAACACAGAAAACTCCCTGTACAAATTATGAACCAAGACTCAAAAGTGATAAGCAAGTGTGGAGGTGGAACTCCAGGGAGTGACTGGTGATAAAGCAAGCAAGGAAACTATTTCAAGCTCAAAGGTCTGACACAGCACTGGAGTGAGATTCAACCCTTTCTGCAAGGATTTAAAGAAGACGACAATGAAGAAGATTGCTGAGGCACAGCACCAAGTCAGCTCACTGGCAGGATGAGCCCTTAAGAAGATGAAGCCGGAGGAGTAATTCTTTCAAAGCAATTATGGGGCTTAAAAGCAAAGCAAAGCAAAGCAAAACAAAGCATAGCAAAAGCAAAGCAAAGCAAAGCAAAGGAGAAGGACTCCTCAGCCATGAAGTTGAAAAGCAACTCGATCGAATAAAAGCAAAAAACCCCTGAGCACTCTGCTTATTATAAGGCATCAAATAGACCTTTGCAAAGCTGGATGGTGAAAAAAGGTGATAGGAAGTAAATCAAGTCACTTGAAATTTGGGGCTGGAGAAAAGCCGCCTTGAATCCCATTTTGGGAGAAAGACGGGATAAAATCCAATCATTAAATAAATAGGTTGGCGGATACCGTGGACTGCTAAAAAGACCAATAGATAGCCAAGATGGCTAAGCTGAGACTGTCGAACTCTGGCCACATCACGAGAAGACATGATTCAATGGGAAAGCAATAATGCTGAGGAAGACAGAAGATATCAGGGAAAGAGGAAAACATATTACAGATGGATAGATTCAATTAAGGAAGTCATAGCTCTGACTCTACAAGACCTGAGCAAGGCAGTGGAAGACCCCTATCCTAGGGTCTTCTCTGCAAGCTTTCTTCTAAGAAGGTTTACACCAGCTTCCTCTGAGACTGAAAGAAGAGTGTGACTTGAACATCCAGTGGGTTTCCATGTCCAAGCGAGAATTTGAACCCAGATACCTTCACATTGACCTTGACCTATCACAAACCCATCATAAGAGTTTTCTTAGCAAGATTTATTTGAAGAGGTTTGCCATTCCCTTCCTCTTAGGCTGAGGGTGTTTGACTTGCCCAAGGTCACCCAGAAGTTTCCGTGGCTGAACAGAGATTTGAACCCTGGTCTCCAGAATCCTGGTCCAATGCTCAAACCACTACACCATGCTGGCTCATCACCATGCCCACAGGTTTTGCATTCCTATTGCTATTAATATATACAACCAAATCTTTATATCAACTAAAAGTCTATTCCTAAGCACTTCACTCCAAACATCTGAAGAAGCAGACTTACGTCTACCTTATGCTACCAATTTCTTTCTCTTAGCTAGTTTCAAGGGTGTTACAAGATCCCTTTGCATACCTAAAGCTCTTATATTTGCTGTGTGTTGCACTCGGTTTCCATGGTTCAGTAAGGATTCAAACCTTGGTCTCCCAGGATCCACTGGCTGCTACTAGTTTGCTCCTTGGTTTAAGAACAGCCTTTCCTGTTCCCAGAAACAGCCCAGCTCTCCCCTCCAAAACATGGCAAAATCATATTTTTTAGTTTAAAAAAAGTTTTAAACAAATTGGAGGGTAACAGGTATGGAGTGATAATGCAGAGAGTCAATATGCCTCCTGCAAAACCCATGGCGGTTGCACACCCTTGGAGCTACAATGCATGTGCTAAAATGGTCTGATCCAGAACGGGACAGTTTCACATGTATGCTGATGACTCTCCAACCTTCAATGGCCCCATCATCCTACCTGTCATTTTGGTACACGTCCATGGAACTATTGAGCTCTTCCAATTCCTCCTTCAGTAACTGCAGGTTGGAGTTGACGTAACTGAGTTCTAAGGCAACCGTCTCCTTTACTTTGTGGTTACTAGTGGCCCTGGAATTAGAGCAAAAAGAAATGGTCAAATTTCTAAAACACCCATCCTTCAGCGGGCAGACAGATCTGCTCGTGTCGTCTTCACAACAGCCTTGTGAGGCAGGCCACACCAGGCATGCATCCGCACTCCAGAAATAATCCAGTTTGATACCACTTTAACTGCCAAGGCTCAATGCTATAGAATACTTGGAACTGTAGTTCTGTGAGACATTTAGCCTTCTCTGTTGAAGAGTTCTGGTGCCACAACAAACTACAATTCCCAGAAATCCATAACATTGGCATGTGGCAGTAAAAGTGGTATCAAGCAAGATTATTTCTGCAGTGTGGATGCAGCCTGGGAAGGCATGTCTTGCCCCTGTCCATACAGTGAGATAAAAGGAGGCATGAGAGATACATGACCCTGCTATATATTGCTGCACAGTAATTCCCATCATCCACCACAACTGACTCTGCTGGCAGGGCCATGCAGGTTGGGTGAGCCTGGGAGCAGTAGTCCAAAAAGGAACTTTTCCAAACTACAAACTGAGTCTCCCTTATTTTCCAAGCCGAGTCTTCCTTATCTGGAATTCCGAAATCCAAAGTATTACAAAAACCAAAACATTCTTCATGCTAAGGTAGTGACACCTTAGCATGAAGATGGTTCAAGATACACAAACTTTGTGTTATGCTCAAAATTATTAAAAATATTGTGTATAAAATTACCTTCAGGCTATGTATATAACGTATATATGAAACATAAATGAATTTTGTGTTTAGACTCGGGTCCCATCTCCAAGATATCTCACTATATACCTATATGCAAACACAAGTATTTCAAAAGCCAACCCCCCCCCCTCCAAAATACCTCTGGTCTCAAGTATTTCAGAGAAAGGAGACTCAACCTGTATGCATTTTTTAACAGAACAAAATCCAACAAGCAAGAGAGGAGATAACAAGACCTCATCCAGACTGTACAATTTCCAATGTGGAAGATGGCTGAAGGCATGCCACATTAGGAAATCTCCCCCGTAACTCCATTTTGCAAATCACGTCTGCACAGAAAGCTAGCATCTCAAGCAGATGACTAGGCTAGCACCTGATGCTTGACACTCTAGTTTTCTGCACTTCTGCATGGAGGGTTTTTTCCCATGCACTTCTTTCTTCCTTCTGTAAGTGTGTGTTACTGGGATGTTTGCAAACCACCCTTTCCCTAAATAAGTTTTAAGGAGGATCCTGCACTCTGAAGGAGAAGGTCTGACTCAGTGATCCAGGAGGGCTTTTTCACCTCCCAGGATATCCGGTGTTTTGCTTCAATCGTTTCCTAATTACTTCTCAAGAATCAAGTGCAAAATCCCCCCACATTCTTCCCAATTCCAGCAAGACAGCAGATTGATGACCCACACTCCCTTCCTTGTTTTAGTCTGAGCTTCCCAATCTTTTCTCTATTAACAGCATAAAGGATGAGTCTCCCTTATCTGGAATTCCAAAATCTGAAACACTCCAAAATCCAAAATTGGATTTTATTGAAATAGCCACACCTTTACTTTTGGATGGTTCAGGTGACATAAACTTTGCTTCATGCACAAAAGCATTACAAATATTATATGTAACATGACTATCAGGCTATGTGTATAAGATGTATATGAAACATAAATGAATTTCATGTTTAGACCTGGGTTCCATCTCCAACAGAAAGCTAGTGTGGTTTGAGTGTTGGAACCATGACTCTGGAGACCAGGATTCAAATCCCAGCTTGACCATCAAACTCACTGGGTAACCTTGGGCAAGTCACACTCTCTTAGCCTTGGGGGAGGCAAGGGCAAACCTCCTCTGAACAAATCTTGCCAAGAAAACCCCATAGCAAGTTTGCAGTAAATCAGAAACAACTTGAAGGTGCATGCCACCACCATCCATCTCCAAGATATCTCATTATGTCTATGCATATATTGCAAAATCCTAAAAACACTTCTGGTCCCAAACATTTCAGATAAGGGAGACTCAACCTGTACTGAAATACAGCAGCAATGCTGCTTATTTATTTAATTTATATCCCAGCTTTCTCCCAGTATATGAATCTAAAGGCAGCTTACAACTATTTTTTTAATCATCATCATCATCATAATCATCATCATCCAACTTTGCTGATGTAGGTGATCTTGGTCTGTTTCATACCACACAGCTATGAGCACTTGGATACCACTTTAACCACTTTGTATACTGTCTGGTGTCGTGGTTTGAGTCTTGGACTACAACTCTGGAGACCAGGATTCGCACCCCTGTGCGGCTATGCAAACCCACCAGGTGACATTGGGCAAGTCACACTCTCTCTCAATCTCTCCTCATAGGGCTTGATGGTTTCCAGACCTTTCCCCATTTTGGTTGCCCTTCTCTAGCTACGCTCTGGCTTGCCCACATCCCTCCTGAATTGGGGTGCCCAGAACTAGAGACAGTGTTATTCCAGGCAAGGCTGACCAAAGCAGAATAGGGGGGTACTATTACTTCCCTCAATCTAGACATTAAACCCCTATTGACGCAGCCTAGGATCATACTGGCTTTTTTAGCTGCCATACCACACTGTTGGCTCATGTTCAGCTTATGGTCTACTAAGACTCCTAGATCCCTTTCGTATGTACTGTTGTCAAGCCAGGTGTCACCATCCTCTATCTCTGCATTTCCTTTTTCTGCTTTAGTACTAGACTTAGGCATAAAAACTGTGCTGGAAATGGGCAAAGACTCACCTGAACAGGTTTTCTGCACCTGCTCGCATCCTCATCTCTTTGTTGATCTGTTGGTTAATTCGGGCCCGGCGGTGCTGCAGCTTGCTGCGCTGGGACTGTGCTAAAGGATCGCAGCCCTGCCAAAAAGGAGACCAACATTAAAAACATTGCTTGGCCCAAAGAGTTTGTTCATCACGGCTCTCCCACTTCGCAGTCTTTTCCCATCAGTCCTACTACAAGGCTTGCAATCGAAAGCATGCAATGGAGTGGGCAAAGCAACAGTCCATTGGCTGCATGGACTCCACATTTTATTTTATTGTTTGGAAAATAAATCTGTTTGGGCCCAAAGACCACCCCAAACCACCTCTAGTAAGGAGGCTTGCATTTTGCTATGTTTTTGTCATCCTTTTGCTGTTTTAGGATTAGGAGAGGTCTTTTTTTTTTTCCTAATAGGAAGCGTTTTGAAAGTTGACTTTTTAAAAAATTAAAGAGAAGTTGGGGTACAGCCCCCCAACTTCTCTTTGGGGTCCAGTGAGATCCCCCTAATCGTTGACCATTGTTCACATTTGATCAAAAGCATGGGGAGATCATATAATTCTTCAGATGGCAATCCCCAGCATTTCTCACCAGTGGCTCGGGGCTGCTGGGACTTGCAGTCAAACGACATCTGGATTTCTCATAGGATTCCCTCCACAGTTCTAAAGGTAGATTTCCACAGTGATTTTATTGCAAATATTCCAAATATTAGCATTTTCGCCCCCCAAACGTTGCTGCAACTTGAATATTCAAAAATGAGCTAAATGGTACTTTTCTAAGGTGGTCCAAAATGTTCACATGCATTATCTCAGTTTATTTTCAAAACATATTCAAAACAGATTAGGAAGACACCCTCAATTTAAAATATATAGCTCTTGCCAAAATATCATTATCTTGGAATCTTGATATTAAATTTAAAAATGCATTTAATCTTTATCTCAAAGACAAATTAGCTTATAAGCAAATCTCCAAACAGAATCAGTCAAAACATCCCTTCTATTATTATTATTATTATTATTATTATTATTATTATTATTATTATTATTATTTCCACCTTCCTCCTGGTACAGGTCCTCAAGGTGAGTAACAAAATTTAAAACAGTTCAAGCTAAAGCAATACAAAGCATTAAAATACAAAGGTTAAAAAAACAACAATTAAACAATTCCAAAAAGTTAAAGACAAATAAGTATATTACTCAAATAAGTTTATTATTATTATTATTATTATTATTATTATTATTATTATTATTATTTCCCACTTTTCTCCCAATATAGGGATTCAAGGCAGCTAACAACTAATTTAAAACAATACAAATTAACAGCAACACAAAAGCATTAAGAAATATAAAGTTTTAAAAACAATGCAAAATTTATAAAGTTAAAAGCATTCAACATAAAATGTATATTTAGATTGCAGAATAGTAAATATTTGGAGACAGACTCCAAGTATTGTCTCTTTTCCACACGCAACCTCCCAACCACTAAAAAGAGTTGATGATGGTTTCCAAAAAGGAAGCCTTAAAGGGAACAGGTCTGGCAGGTTTGCTGTTGGATGCTTGCAAAAG